CCACCCCGCGCACTTTGCCACCGGCTGCAGCACCCCCTCGATTGCCGTCACTGCATCTTGCGGCCAATGCAACTTGTGCTGGCTAGCAGGCTGGTCACAGCCAGGCTGAACCCCTGGCGTGCGCCGTGCCGACTCGACCCCAGCCCGCGGCACAGGCGCTTGAACGCATACACCTGCAGCAGCAGGGAAAGGAGTGGCGAGTGGCAGCAAGCCCGGGGCAGGGAGCACTGATGGCACCATGACAATCGACCGGCATGCGCATCACGATCACAACAACTGTCGGTGCCAGGCCAGCAGGCCGGCCGGCCTTGTGCACCATGAGGGGCGAGCAGCGCCGTAGGGCACGGTCCACATCGTGGGCGCGGGCTGCGCCAAGCGGCGGGCGTTCCGCTGCTGCATCCTGTTCATCCTCGTCGCCACTCTGCTCCGCCCCCGACTCTGCCTCAAAATCCCGCTGGTCCTTCACCAGGATGGCCACCAGCGCGCTGGCCCCTTTCTGGCGCGCCTCCTGCAGAGGCAGGCACGGTGGTGAGGGCCTTGGTGGTTGTCTCGGCTTGGTGGTTGTCTCGGGCAGCAGGTGAGCAAGGCGGTGGCTGCGCCGCCACATGACGATGTTGCCGCAGCATCGCCGCAGCACCCTGCGGCACAGCGAGTGTGAGCAGCAGGCTCTCACCTCCTCTAGCGCTGCCAGCTCCCAAAAGTGCGCCAGCAGCTGCAGAGGGTGTGGAGGAGCAGCCGCAATGTGTGTTGTCGCAATTATCGAGCAGAGCGCTGCGGAGCACGTGCACATGCAAAGCTGGCGCAGGCATGCAAGTGCATGGCCCCACGCACGGAGTCCCCAGCCGTCACCGCAGACACTACTGGGCCGGGCGCGGGCGACATGGCGGTCGCAATTAGTTTGAAGGGATGCATTGTGTTTGTGTGTTGTGTGTGAAATGGAGTGGCACACGTCACGGCTCCGTGGCACACCTCCCGGGAGCTCCCTTCCTTCTTGTCTCGCACTTGATCTTTGCAGCTTGGACATTTGCAGCTTGAAATGGCTGAGTGGTATAAAGAGGCCTGCTGCCTGGGAATCGGTGAGCGGTGCCGCACCATTCAAAATGCTTGGCTTGCAGACACTAGGCTTCCAGCTCTCACGGTGCCGCCTGCCGTGCCGGATCCTGTGTGCCCTCCTGCCAGATGAAGCTGGGAGAGGCCCTGTGCTGGGGCCAATGGTCTATGGGTTGGCGTGGGCGCCCATCAGCCGACGCAAAGACCTGAAAGCCATGTGCGCCACGCACATAAAATGCACCACCCGTTGGCCCTGGAAGACATCCAAACTAGCGGTGCTGTCCCGGGCTGCTGGAACCTGTTTTTCTCCAGTTTGCAGCTGAAATAGCCAGTTGCCCCTCCTTGTGGAACTATACCTGCAGGGGCTTTGCCGACTCCAAGACGCTGACCGAGGAAAAGCGGGACCACCTGTTTGGGGTGATCCAGGCGGAGGGCGGCATGCTGGGCTACCAGGCCGATGTGCTGTCGGCCGCCTTCATCTCGGGTGCGACTGCCATGGGCCGTTGCACTGTGGAAGCAATGAATGACCCTTCCTGGCCCTGTGCAGCTAGTGCTGCTATCGTCAATGCACCTGCTGCCATCAGCGCCTGCCACCTCCCTCGCGGCTGCTGGCTGCAGGGAAGATGCTGGGCCGGGAGCGCGTGTCGCTCAACGCGCTGGCCTTTGAGTCCACCTGCGCCCTGATCGAGGCAGTATTGGCGCGGGGGGTGAACCTGGCCGAGGCATACATCGATGCGCTGGGCGACACCACTAAACACAAGGCGGGTGGCAGCGCAGCATGGGGCCACCTAACTTGCCTCTTGCCTGCCTAGCCGCATTTCCTGCTGCTGCCGTGCCCGCCCGCCTCCTGCAAGCACAACTGGGCCAGTGCGATTAGCGGCAGTGTCCTCTGCAAGCGTCCCCCAGCAACTGCAGTGCATGCGCAGTGTATGTGATGCACTGCGTTAGCTACCCCTACCCACGACATGCCTGCGCACCGCCCTACCCTCCGCTCCCTTGCAGGAGCGGCTGTCACAGCGATTCCCAGGGGTGCAGTTTGTGGTGGAGGCCAAGGCAGACTCCACCTACCCCATTGTCAGCGCGGGTGAGGTCAGGGCTAGGGCGCCGCATCCACAGTGAGCCACAGCCCATACAGCTGGTGACCTCATGTTTCGTGCTGGACATTCTGTTCAACTGTTCACCAGCATGCCCTTGCCCCCTCTGTCGCCAAGTCATGCAGCCTCCATCGTGGCAAAAGTGACACGTGACCGCACGCTGCGTGACTTTGTACTGGGAGAGATGGCGGCGTCACTGGACGGTGGCAGCAGCAGCAGCGACGGCTGCGCCGCAGCCCTTTCCACTCAGTTTGGCAGCGGGTATCCTGCAGATCCGCAGACGAAACGATGGCTGGAGGCCAGCATCAATCGCGTCTTTGGCTTCCCCTCCCTTGTGCGCTTCAGGTGAGGTGAAACAGCTGCGTATGGTGTGCGAGGCAAGCCATGCAAGCGGGGCTCCTTTCTTATGTTTGGGCCGCTTTCCCATGTTTGGCTGAATGCTTGGGCTGGGTGCTATGCTTCTGCCGCTGATTTTAATCACCTGCCCCCTCCTCCTACCTGCAGCTGGTCCACGTGTACCCCACTCCTGGAGCAGCATGCAGCCACCATTACCTTCGAGCGCGATGCGGAGGACGGTGCAGGCACAGGGCAGCAGGTGCTGTCATTTGGCGGCTGCGCGCTGCCAGCGGGGGGCATGGCAGCGGCATCCAGCGGCTTGGGGCGCCATAGCTACTTCATGGCACGCAAGCTTCAGCGCTCGCAGCTGTGCTTCTGAACGTGCAGTTGTGTTTCAGACATACATTGCACAGAGCAGATGGGCAAGGCAACATCCGGATGCCAAGGAAACATAAAGGACACAGCTGAGCAAGCTACAAGTGCTGCAGCTGGAACTGCGAGCGAGCCTTGGAGTCGGGCCCCAAGGCATCATCCCGAGGCAGCAGCTCGCACTGGGCATAGTGCTGCAGCAGCTGATCAGCTAGCACTAGCGCCACCATTGACTCGACCATGGGCACCGCCCGTGGCACGACACAGGGGTCGTGCCTCCCCCGAGCCAGTAGCTCAACATCCTGGCCGACGCGTGACACAGTGGCCTGTCGCCGTGCGATTGTGGCCGTGGGCTTGAAAGCCACACGAAGCACGATTTGCTCGCCATTGCTGATGCCGCCTTGCACGCCACCGGATCTGCAGTGATGTGGGAAAGCTGCCAGGCTCAATAATGCTGCTAACCCACAAAAACAGGTAGGCAGCTGCCCTTGCCCACGCAGCCCACCGCTATTCCTCGCCTCAGCACTTGAGCATATTCACCTGTTGGTGCGGGTGCGAATCTCCCCTTTGTCTGCCATGTAGAACTCGTCATTGTGCTCGCTGCCCAGCATTCGCGACCCGCTGAACCCGCTGCCAATTTCAAAGCCCTGCAAAGGGCGGCAGGCACCGCAGGGGACAAGGGTGGATGTCAGCAGATCGTGCTGGTGCGGCGATAGCGAAGCCAGCACAACCTGCATGAACTTCCAACCACTTCCCAAAGCAGATGAAAGCAAGCCCTGCCCTCTTGAACGGTGCCAAACTGTGCCACACACAACACACCAAAACCGCACCGCCACCTCATGCACCTTTGTGGCAGGCAGGCTCATGATGGCCTTGGCCAGCTCTGCCTCCAGCTTGTCAAACACAGGGGTGCCCAGCCCCTTCGGGCAGCCTCGCACCACGCACGTCACCTCGCCGCCGCACGACTCGCCGCGCGTCCGCACCTCATCGATGGCTGAAGCGTGGGGGGGGGGCGCACATGGGTGGGCGGGGAGCAGCATGGTCCGCTTCACCAGAAAGCGCTTACGTTATACAAGAAGTGAGCACAGCTGACAGGCAACGCAGGAAACATGGCGCGCGTCACCTTTGTACATGAGGTCCGCCGACGCCTGGTCTGGGCAGCGCACCGGGTTGCTCTCGATCTGCTCAAGTGTCATGGTCTCGTGGTCCACTCCGGTCGCCTCCACATCCCGCACCCGATTCACATACGCAAGCACCTCTGTGCCCGCCACCTGCCATGGCAATGGCAGTAGACAGGAGAGTCAACAGCTGGATTGGGTTGGGCAGATGCCGGCATGAGCTTGGTGGCAGTTGGTGGGTTGCTGTGGATAAAGCCCTTCAGTGTGGAACTGTATTCACCCCTTCTTGCCCTTGAAACCTGCACTGACACAGCAACCTGTCCACCTGCTGAAGCAGCTTCTTCGCCACGGCACCCGCCGCCACGCGTCCGATGGTTTCGCGTGCCGACGAGCGCCCGCCACCCGCCACGGCGCGGATGCCATACTTGAAGTCGTAGGTGGCATCTGCAGTCGTAGGTGGCAGTCGAGGGAGGAGCGAAGTGGGAGCCAGACCGGACGTGACAACTCTTCGCTTCCATTGCCACACCCCATGCCGCACCTGCGTGCGAGGGGCGGTATGCTTGCTCCATCTCGCTGTAGTCCCCGCTCTGCTGGTCCTTGTTGCGCACTACCACGCAGATGGGCGTGCCCAGCGTCGTGGTGCCGTCCGGCGCCATGCCACTCAGTAGCTCGCATGTGTCGCTCTCCTTGCGTGGCGTGGTGATCTTGCTCTGGCCTGGACGGCGCCGATCCAGCTCGTACTGGATCTCCTCCTGGGCACACGAGGGTGGCGGTGAGTTGCCGGTGTGAGCACACACACGAGTACAGGGGAAGCGGACCGGCGGCAGCAGGCGGGGCGGCAGTGCGCGGCGGCGGCATTGGGGGTGGCTTGCCACTATTCACCTTGGTGATGCGCAGCCGCGGCGGCACGCCGTCAATCACGCAACCGACCGCCCCGCCGTGACTCTCCCCGAACGTTGTGACACGGAAGCTGTGGCCAAAGGTGCTGCCAGTGGCTTGCACAGGTGCTGCCCGGCGCCGCAACGGGCGCCTGCCCTGGTGCTGCCACTGCCCCAGCAGGCGGTCCTTTGGAGACGCCTGTGTGGGGCGGTGTGCGAGCATGACGCGCTCCAATTGATTGAATGGGCAGCGCCTGCAAAGGGACTCAGCTTACGAAGAATTGCGAGGGCGTTGTGGACGAGCCGCTGTTGTCGGCTGGCCGGCGCAACGCGGCGCTCATTTCACGCCGCCGTTGTGATGATGCAAGGCTTGATCGCCAGCTTTCTCCCGTTCCTCATCCACTCCTAATCGCCACACAAGTGCATGCAGTGACATGTTGATCATATACAAACAAGTGTGCAGATGCCAGCAAAACAGAAGCAGCCAGTAAGAGCGCGCCCCGCCCGCCGCTGGCATCTATGCGCGGCTCAACCTAACGCCCATTCCTGCGGCTGCGCCATCCATTAGCAACCCCAAGAAGCATCCATGCACCGCCCACCAACGCTCCCAACACGCCGCCGGCCAATGCACCGGCCAAAACACTGTCGCTGCCCCTTTCGCGGTTCTCCTCTTCAAGCACCGCAGGTGCTGCACCCAGGTTGCCTGCCGAGGAATCCCTGCTGGATGATGGCGCTGCATTGTCACCGCCGGAAGCTACCCCCTCAGCGGCACGATTGCCACTGTCGCCACCGCGCAGGCTATCCCAATGCTGTGAAATGGAGCCGAGCAGATCGGCCAGATGGAACTGTGAAGACGGAGCACCAATGCCAGCTTCAGCGTCGTGTGCAGGCAGCTGGTGGCGGCACACCTGTATCCCAAAGGTTCGAGGGGACAAAGGATGAAGCTGAAACAGAGAGCAGCACAAAGGGGAACGAAGGGGACACGACAGCAACCGCACCAGGCATGTGTTGTGCTCACCGGGCATGTGTTGTGTGTCTCCAGCCACCTGCAGCCGCAAGCACGGGGGACGTGAAGGACCCTCCACGCATGTGCAGCACCTTTTGTAGACCAATAAAGTGATAGACCGATTAGGGCAATACATTGTTGTGCCTGCTACAAGGCTGTCTGTCACCCTAAGCTGTGATGCTGCCAGCGCAGCCATCATCATGCAAATTGCTTACGGCATAACGCAGTCGTGGTGGTACTCGTGACGGCAGGGCAGCGCAAGCAATTCTTCGCCTTCTCTCCAAACCTCATGGCTGCAAACAACGACAACAATAACAACCCTAAAGCGAAATGACAACAACAGACAAGGGAAGAGAAGGCCAGTCGCCAAGCAGGCTCATGCAGTTGCCATGTGCATTGCTGAGAATGCAGCTCAGCGTTTTGTGCAAAGGACTTCCTGCTGCCGCCAGGCTACAGCAACATTGCCAGCCCGGCAACTCACCAGATACTACATGGCTCGCCCGCCCGTGCAACTGCCTGCCCTTCCCTGGGCTCCCCCTCCGCGTGCTTGGCACGCACAGTCAGTGTCGGCAGGCTGCGCAGTGCGCGTTGCGAGGCGGCCTGCGACGCTGGCTGATACTCGGCCATGACCTGACTCATCAGCTGGTCCAGCCACTCCTGCTCGCCGCCAGGTGCCATCATGCGGCCGCCAGGCACGGCGCCCATCGGCATGGCTACGGACACGCCCCTGTAAGCAGGGCGGGGGAGGCGCAGGCAGGAGGGCTGGTCAATTGAGGCGGAGCCCAAGCAGAGGCTGGCTGCTGAGGCAGGCACTGTGTGCACGGCAGGGCGGGTGGCGTGGGCAACATGCGCGTGCAGCAGCACACAAAGCAACGCGACTTGCATGAAGGGGTGGCCTGGGTGGAGGGAGCCTCCCATCACCGCGTCCAAGACACTCTGCACGAACGGGTCCAATGCCATGCCCGTGCCACCAGGCAGCACGCTCCCGCCGCTTGAGGACGCAACAAAGGTAAAAAAGGCAAAAGGAATTGCAAAGGAATTTATTGAAAAGGGAGCTAATTCGAATCCTTCTGGTAAAATTAAAACTGCCCTGGCCGCCACCGGACAGTGTGAATGTGCGGGAGAAGCGCTGGAGCGCGGCCGAGGCATGGTCGGCAAATGCGGGGGCGTTGTAGTCGCCTCTGCCGCCCGCCTGCATGCACAGTCAACAGGTGGCGGCGTGAATCGGGACGCTCAAGCTCGTACAACACGACCTCTGGGCACCGCTTATAGCACCTGCTCTTCGATGAATCCGCCCATACACACTGGGCACTCGACAGTGCCTGATGGAGCAGGAAAAGATGACTGGCAGAAGTGGCAAAAGATGGACATAATTTTTTGAAGCTGGAGAAACTCTGTCTGAAGCAAGACTTAAGCTGCCAATAGAGTTCAGTCAAGGGAAGACGACCGGTGCGCAGCAGTGCGCAGCAGCGGTGGGCGGTCGGCCGCCAGTTGGCCAGTTGGGAACCCAGAACGGGAGGCTTTGCTCTTGCACGTCCGTGGAAGTCTAGCTAGCCATTGTGAGGCCAGGCGGAGTTTGGTGGCGAGGAATGGAAACCAGGCTTGAAATTGAGCTGCTCCCGATGAAGCGTGTTAAAACGATTGCTCCCTGAAATGAGAGCACTGAACACGGCTGCACAGCTCTTCCAACGCCCAAAAGAAAGGGCCTGGTTACCTCTTGAATCTCAGAAAACAGCTCACGGCATTCAAAGTATGAAGTGTCGCACGAATATAAGCTGGGAGGCTTGCTCTCGGGAGCTCCCGCACATGTGAATGTGATTCGTGGGCCCTCGAGGAGGCAAGGCGCAACAGACCGTCCTCCCTTGGTGGCCTCGATAGAAGTTGCAGGGGGGACGATGGCAGCGGGGGCGGCGGCGGCCCGGCTGCGCCGCCGCTTCAGTGCATTTGCAGGGGACATACTGCGTGGTGAGCCTGCTTTGCCCTGCTGCATGTGTCGTTCTGGCCACACATACTTTGTTATTGACATTCGACACGCATTGTGTCGAATGTCAAGCTCCGCCTTCAAGCGCCCTTCGAGCCGCAGCCAGGCAAGCACTGCCGCTGCAGAGTATCAGCTGGGCCGGCCACCCCAGGTTGTGCCATTCGAGATCGACGAGGCAGAGGCGCGGCGCAAGTTCCTGTCATGGCAGAGCGGCGCGGTGCACGTGGCACCCAGTAGTCTGCTGCCTCCGGGAGGGCCATGGCGCTTGCGCGCCACGCTGCTGCCCTTTTGGATGTTTGACGTGCGGGCACGGGTGGAGTACAATGGCACAGTGGGCATGGCCAGCAAGTAAGGATTTCTGGGTCTGTTTCTATTGTTGCAGCTTCCTGTATACGCTCTGCCACCTTCTTGTTCCTTGCACCACCGGCCTCGTTGCTTGCTTTCTTTTGGTGCTGCTCCAACCACCTCCGCTGCCCGATGCTTGAGATGTGCAGGCAGGGCGCATGGGTGGAATGGCACGAGGTTGGGTGGAAAGAGGTGCCCCACCGCGAGTATAGCTGGCAGCACGATTGCATAATGCGGGTGTACGGTGAGCACACAGCACCGGGGAGCGCACCTCCCCCAGCCCCTGCCCACCAGCCTGCTGCGCTCGGGCTGCACGCGAGATATAGCGAGTGTGCACCCCCTGTCCTCTAGGACTCCTGTTGTCTGATCAGTCCGCCTGCGCTGGATGCTGCCAGACAGCCCCGCCTGTTGTCCCGCAACCTTCTGCAGCATCCTTTAAGTACCGCCGCGACTATGCCCAGGTTGTCAATAGATCATGGTCCCTGAAACGGCTTCAGCCACTGCCCGAGGCGGATGCCGCAAGGGGTAACTATGTGTCGGCCACACTCACAGGCAGGGCACAAGGAGCAGATGTTGACCCACCCACCATGCGGCAGGCCATTGCCTGGGAGTTTGTTTTGCGCGACATCCGTGAGCGGGAGGTGAGAATCAAACAAAACAGCGCCCCTGCCTTCCCAGCTTTTTGCCCATGTCCAGGATCACGGGCCAGCAGAAAGTTCGTGTGACACCCAATGTCCTCACTCGTGTCACACTTGTGCAGCACCGTGCAGCCGAAGAGCGGCTCCTAGTGATGCACGGCACGGCGGTGCAAGTACGGGATGTGCATGTGCGTCTGCATGTGCTGGACCGTCGCATCCAGCTGGCGTTCTTGCCCTGCTTCCACCTAGAATATGAGCATGGTGAGAGCTTCAATGCCCACGGCGAGCGCGTGCCGGCATGGCATGAGGCCATCATCAGCGGCACAGGCAAGATGGGGTGGGGGTGGCAGGCTGCTTTTTCTCTCTTCTGTCTGCCTGTCAGCTTGTCGTGCTCTGCATGCGTGGTAGTGCATTTGCCACCCTGAGGCATGTACTTGTTCCGCTGCACTGCTGCAGCGGAAGGCGTTGTAGCGGGGATGCGGCATTTTAGCCCGCAGCGGGCAGGTGGCAGCGTTGTTCTGGCAGCGATGGGGGCCACCGCTGCTGTTTCGCCCCTATTAGGCCTAGATCCCTGGTCCCTGATCAGCGTCGAGGCAGGATTTGCTCTTTTCACTGCATCAGCCGTAGCAGGCAAGGAATAGCTGTGGGGGCTAACCCGTCGTGCCCCCTTGCCTCCTCTGCTGGCTACGGGCCATTTGACAGTCTCCCAAACCTGATGCTTAATAAAGTGTTTACTGGAGCCGTGCAGGCTTTACTGCGCGCATGCTGCCCCTGTGGCTGCACCAGGCGGCGGAGGAACGGAGGCTGCGCGCCTCGGACGCCGAGTTTGAGCGGGTGGTTGGCATGGGGATGGGGCCCCTTGATACTGGCACAGAAGACCAGGAGGTGGGGCGTTGGATTAACAGGCTGCATTGTTTCATGCTTGCCGGTGCCCAGCCTGCTCTCTCGCAATCCTTTTGCATGCAGTTCAGCTTGTAGGAAGCATTCCTACATTTGACTGCATGATAACACGCCGGGGCTGTTCTGGCAAATGCCATGTTTCCCTACAGTTCCTGTGGAGTGCAGCCGAGTGGCGACGGTGGGAGGCAGTGGGCTCCGACCCCTGGCGGGAGCACAAACGGCAGAGCTGGGCTGAGGAACTTTTGGAGGCGCAGCAACGGCGGCGATTGGAGCGGGAGCAACTCAGGTTTGTGATGGGATGGTGGGACGAAAGGGGGGTGCCGTGCCTGTGTTTGTCTGTAATCGAGCGTGGTGATTTGGCAATGTTAATGTTTCTCCTTGCAGAGCAAAGCTATCCGCAGATCAAGCGCGGCAGGAGAAGGAGGAGCGGCGAGAGGAGCGGCGACAGCAGCGCTGGGGCCCTACCAGCCACCATCACTTTTACCAACGGTGAGCTGCACTGGGTGTTCGCAAAATGGTGTCGGCATGTGGCAAGACGAGCAGGCTCGCTGCCACCCCTCAAAATGCTACCCCTGACTGGCAATGCCTGTATCTAATCCGCTGCAGGCATCAGGAGCAGGCATTTTCAGGGGGGGTGCGTGGCGGGGGGCGCAGCGACTGGCTTGGTTATTACCACATTCTTGGGCTGGACGCAGCGCAGTCCCGTGGGCATGTCAGCCAAGAAGACATCAAACGCGCATTTCGTAGGGCTGCGCTACGCTGGCACCCTGACAAGCAGGTGGGAGCGGTGAGGCATAGCCACGTTTTCATACAAGCGTGATGCCACGTCAGGGCGGCTGTTGGTAAAGATGGTTCAATGTTCCCTTGGTTGCTGTGGTGCAGGAGGTGGCAAATGAGCATGGCAAGCGTCAAGCAAGAGAAAAATTTCAGGCCATCCGTGTTGCCTACGATGTGCTGCGTGATCCAGATCGCCGTCGCGCGTACGACAGGGGTGACACGGTAGAGATGTGACGGGCTATACAGCCCGCTTGCTTGCGGTTTCTGGCACTCCATCAGTCTGATTGACTATCTGATGGGGAACCACAAGGTTTTCCTTGGAACAAGCGTAAACACATCACCAAGAAGGGCATGCCTGCTTGCAGGAGCTGCCCCCAAACCCAGGAGGCAATCAGCTCCCAGTGGGCTGGGCGGTGCCAAGGTACATACGTGTGCGGTTAGTGAACCAGGCATGCAGCGCCGCTATTGGGCTGCTTCCGTACGACACGGTGCTGCCCCCGATGCCGCCTCCGCCTGCACCGCCACCGTCAGCAAAATTTGCCTGCTCCCAGTGCTCGACATCCTCCAACTGCAGCACAGGTAGCAAGAACGGACAGAGCTCAAAGGTGATCAATTACGCAAGGTGCTGGGAGGTGCAGGGCTTGAGGTAGGGGCATGTGGAATGCAGGTCTTTTTGGTGCCACTTACCTCCCAGGGGCGTGGTGGCATCATGCCGTACGCCGGCCGCGGCAAGTGCTCCCAATCCTCCTCGGGCGCCTCATAGGTAGTGGGCCCCTCCGAGGTCAGCAGGGTTGGACAGTCCAGGTCCACTGCATGCACAAAGGCACCGGCATTGTTAAGGCCAAATGGAACACAGGTCACTGTTTGGGAGCAGATAACAGGCGAAGTCATACGGTTGCGCTCCGCTCACCTTGACCCAGCCACACACTTTGGCTGCTGGAGGCGCTGCCAGCTAGCAAACTGCTGCGCCCCAGTACAGCGCTGGCGTGCAAGGGGCCTGCCCTTGGCACCGCCACGCGCCCAGTGCTTGACCGCGGCTCCAGCGCCAGAAGCTTGCAGAGCTTGGCCAGCCAGGTAAAGGGCAAGCGGTCCTCTGGCACTTTAAATGCTGCCTCTGGCCCCAATCTGGCATACACCAGCAAGCCCGCTGAGCGCTGCAGCTCGTGCAGCGCAGCCTGCAGCTGCTGTTCCATACGGCGCTGTTGTTGCTGTGTGGCAGCAGCGCTGCCGCCACCTCCAAGGGCGCTCAGGCCCAAGCCGCTGCGGCCGCCATCGGCAGCCGCGGGCCAACTCAGCCGTAGGGCATCGTTGGGGGGCAAGGGGCGCATATCAAAGAACCCATCGGGCTGCCACAGCCGCGACGTGGAGCCCTGGAAGGCGGCACGATGCGCCACAGGGAGCTGCAGGAAGCGGGACAGCAGGTCCAGGAGCAGTGCCAGGTAGCCCAGCGCGCTGCCCAGCGAGCCAGCGAGCTGTGCCAGCTCCGTCATGCCGACTGGCTTGTCAGGCAGTACCAGGGAGCAGACTGCGGCGCAGTCGCGCTGGGCTGCGGCACCAAGGCTGCTGCGGCTGCCGCTGTTGGATGCGACTGGGCAAGTCAAAGGCACAAGCTTGAGCGGCAAAATCTCCATGGCTCGTGACACCACCCTGCAGGGGCAGGACCAGCAGCATGGTGCACAAGGATCGCTTGGCATCACATCGGTTGGATGGTGCACGTGCTACTCTTTCAAGCGTGAACTGGGTAGGTGTACAGGCCTCTGCATCATACAGGACTCTGCTGGATGCATGAACTGGCGGATGATTGGTGCAGAAGGCAGAGAAGATCCGCTGCCATGCGCCACTCACTTGGTGCGCTGCTCTCGTGCCAGCGCCTCGAGGCTGCGGACGCAGGCCTGCACCTTTTGGTTGCGATGCGGCGCTGTCAGGGCCTCCATCTGGCGGGACAGTGCATCCAGGTCCTGCTGCACCTCACGCAGGCGCAGCTGCCGCTGCTGCTGCTGTTGATGGCCCGCCAGTATGCCACGACGCTCCACCTGCAGCTGGCGGTCGACCTCGGCGGCATGCTGGCGGGTTGCACGCAGCTCTTCGGCAAGGTGCAACAGCTGCCGCTGTTGCTGCTGGTGCGCCACCTGGTAGCACGCCAGCAGGGGGGGAGCGCAAGAGTCGTTGAGGCGGTGCGCCAACCGCAGACGCTGGGCAGCGGGCAGGTCGGCCGGCGGCGAGCACACCTTGTCTGCCAACACAGCCTTCAGCTGCTGCGCCGCGGCATCCCGCTGCTCCAGCAAGCTGCGCTTATCGGACAGGCAGGGGGAGCCTGCGAAGCACTGGTCGCAGACCAGCGGCGTGTTGGCGGCCTCGCATACCCCGCAAGACATAACTGGTCGGTCCGTCGTGCACCCGAGGGCCCTTTCATTGTTTTGTGGAAAAGCGATCAGCGCTGAGGTGGCAAAGTGGTGGAAAATGACGGCCCTTCAAGGCTGTGCAATGCAGCCCCGGCTGCGCATTGTTCCACTGGCTCCGGCAGAGACGTGAGGCAAAAAAAACAGCGTGGTCAGGCCGAGGAGCCGAAGGACCCACAAAGAGTTGTGATCACAGCCAAAGTTGTGAGCTATCGCAGCAGTGTCTCGGCAGCAGCCCCAGCACACGACGGCCGGCCACTCGCCGCCCACTGACTGCCGCCGCCGCACCCCGCCCGGCGGCGCACAGCGAGCAGCGCGCAGCCTCATGGCGGTGGCAACAGTGGATGACTCTGTGCTGGATCTCGTGCGGAAGCACATGCGCGAGGTCAAGGTGCCGGGGAACTATGACCGGGTCTACAAGGATGAGTGCATGTTCTGCTTTGCCTCGCCCGAGTCCCCAGGCGGCCTCTACATCAACCTCGCCACCCACCAAGCCTTTGACGAGGAACACATGGAGCTGGACCAGCAGCGCACCAGCGCCATGCTCTATCTGCACCGACAGGCTCGCCGGGTGAGCCTTCCAGCAGCCTCTAGCAGTGCTCACACCCAAGAGCGTGCTGCTGTTGCACGCATCATCAACTGCCATTACACCGACTGCATTTCCAGGTGCCACTCAGCGAAGCGGAACTCAAAAAGCGGGAGGACGAGAAGCCCAACAAGATGGCCATCGGGGTGAAGGGCGGGTTCCAGCTGGACGAAAAAGATTACCGTTTAGAGACCGAAGAGGTCGGGTAACTTGTCCAACCATTACACACAGCGGTTCCTCATGTCTCTATGCATTGGTGTCGCAGCAGCAGCTTCAATACAGCGGGTTGTCAGGCCAGCACATGTTGCCGTTTTGCGTCATCTCGTACACTCCCGCCTCGTGCAGGCGCTGGTGCTGTTGCCTGCATGGCTGCGAATCCCCCTGCCATGCCCCGAGCTACCAGAACTAGTGCTGTCGTGCATTACGGCAGTGCAGAAGCATGACAGCGCCAGCCACCAGGCAAGCCGTGCCCTTTCAGCCCTTGTGCGCAGCCCGTGCCGGCCCATGTCCCGTGCTGTGCTTAACCCAATATTGGATTGGCTGCCTGGTGTTTCGCGCCCTGCACGCACGGCACCCACGGCTTTCCTTGCTACCCGTACAGGAGAAAGTCAGTGCCTGGCATGAAGAGCGGAGAGTCAGCAAGTATGCCGAGCACCTCGAGCAGCTTCCGGCCACCCGAAACATCCCTATGGACCCCAAGGAGGTCTGCGACTGTGCTGCATTTACACCAAGAGCGCCTGGAGCTGTTCAACCTGTGCGGCACTCATCAGCACCCTTCCATACATCCTTTGCAGTGGAAGTGTGATGAGACTGGGTTGCAGGAGAACCTTTGGCTCAATCTTTCGACAGGCTTCATTGGCTGTGGACGCCAGGTGAGCTGACCTCTGATTTTTGTTGGTTATGACAATACCTCTCTTCACAGGCGACGGACAAGTGCCGGTAGGAATGACAATTTCAGACCGCCGTGCGCTGCAGCAATATGGCATGGACTCGGGCACCGGCTCTGCAATGAAACATTATGAGGCGACGGGGCGCAAATACCCGCTGGTGGTCAAGCTGGGCACAATCACGCCACACGGCGCCGATGTGTACAGTTATGCTCCAGAGGAGGATGACATGGTGCTGGACCCGCACCTGGCACGCCACCTGGCGCACTGGGGCATCGACATGATACAGGTAGCAGTTGGCAACTGCAGTCAATGTGCGCTCAGCGAGATGTAACACTTCACTGGCGGAATTTAATTAACCCTGATACATGGCATGCGGCCTGCTGATCGTGGCGCAGATGGAGAAGACAGAGAAGTCCATCGCTGAGCTGGAGATTGACCAAAACGTGGCCATGGAGTTTGACAAGATCACAGAGGCAGGTGCACACCTGAAGCCACTGTCGGGACCAGGGTGAGTATGCGACTGGGAAGCAGTGTATATCTTGTTCACTACAACCATGTGCTGATGCGACAACATGGGTGTTTGTATCGATCTTGCTAGTGCCCGTTGCATTAAAGTCTGCTGTCATGGCTTGTGTTTGTGAAGGTTTGTGGGCCTGACTAATTTAGGCAACAGCTGCTACATGAACAGTGTGCTGCAATTGTTGTGGGCTTTGCCCGAGCTGCATCAGCGTTATGTGGATAAAGCGGCACACATCTTCAAGACCGCCCCTCAGGACCCTGCCGTTGACTTTGCCACTCAGTTCGCCAAGGTTAGTGTGGCCGAGCGACTTGGAAGAGGGAGTTGGAGAATGCCTGCTTTATGCCACAAGTCGAACACCTGGCAGCCTACGTGCAATTCTCTGCACCCTCCATGTTCGTCACAGGTCGGCACAGCACTGTTGACTGGCAAGACAGACACCCTGGCTGCCGCCAATGCACCCCAGCCAATGAACTACGAAGCTGAGACAATGATCATGGAGGGCAGCCTGGAAGCTGTTGTTCAGGTGTAGTAAGAGCGCTGTGCACTAGCCCAGCACCACACGGTTGTTCCAGGGGTGTACCTATACCTCTCCTGCCTGCGGCTGTTGCTGCTGCTGCTCACTCTGTAAGGTCTGCCTGCTTTCCCTGCAGGTTAAGGAGGAGATCGGCATCAGTGTGCGCCCGCAGGCGTTTAAGAGCCTGGTGGGGAAGGGCCACTCAGAATTCAGCTCCGGCAGGCAGCAGGTGGGTGGGGAGAGGCGAGGTAGGGGGCTCAGTCTCGATTCTGGCCCCATGTTGATTGTGGCCCTACGGTGGAGGCTGGTGCCATGGCTGTCTGCCTTGTTTCCAGCCTATTCACTTGTTGCCCCTCATTGACATCAGTGCCGCTGCCGCCATTGTTGGCCCCCGCTGTGCAGGATGCACAGGAGTTCTTTGGGCACCTGCTGGAGGTGTTGAGCCGCGCAGAACATGCGGCTGGAAGCCGCCTGCCGGGTGCTGCTGCGGAACCCACCACTCGTCTTTTCAAGTTTGGCACAGAGGATCGCATCCAATGCACCGAGACGGGCAGGGTGCGACTCATTTTGCGCTGCCGTGTGTTCTGCAGTCTCTGCAGCCTGGCCTGCTGGATTGTTCTTGCCCCATGCCGCTTTGTTGTCAGCTGCTTTCCCCTGCGCTTACCTGGGCGCCAGCTGCTTTCCAATGCTAACTTGGGCCCTGGAGTGCATGCAGGTAGCGCTTGTGCCCGGCGAGTCGACCTGCCTAGCCCTGCATATTCCAATGGAGGCCGCTGAGAACCGCAACGAGTTGGAGCAGTTCCAAGAGCGGCAGCAGAAGCGGCAGAAGCTAAAGGAGGAGGGGTCGGCAGCGGCAGATGTGCTGCCCAAGGTGTGCCACAATTGAGTGGCAACCGTGTGTGTTTGGGTGGGGTGGGGTGGGCAGAGGCTTTCTGGAACCTCTGAACCTCCACTGAATGCTCCTACCGCTCCTGCCTCTGTTCACCGGCGAGGTGCAGGAGGAGGAGCACGTCACACCCCGCGTGCCCTTCACCGCCTGCCTGGAGATGTGGGCTGCAGACAACCTGGTGGATGGCTACAGCTCGGCGGCAGCAGGCAGGAAGACGCAGGTAAAGCGGTGGCAGAGCCGCAGCTTCTGTGCACCAATGCCGCTGCACCCATCTACCTGCTGCATACCTCTCCCTTGTGCCTGCCTGCTAAACGCCTCGACTAAGTCCATCCCTCCTCCCTGCGCAGGCCGCCAAGCGTCCCCGATTCTCCTCCTTCCCTCCCTACCTGCTGGTCCAGATGCTGCGCTACTATCGAACAGAGACAGGGGAGGAGAAGAAGTTGGATGTGGAGATTCCGGTGCCAGAGGAACTGGACTTGGAGCCGCTGCGGGCGCAGGGCCTGCAGGTGGGCCAGCGCTTTGCGTCTGGACCTGTAGTTGTCACGTACCGCTGGTGCCCATGGCAGTTGGATTTCGCACCTGCATTGCAAGGTCTCAGCTGCCCGCTTGCTTGGTCAGGCTAAGAGGGAGGTGTCAGGGGGCTGGGCTTGTACAACCGCCCCCGAGTGTGCATGCTGCACCACGCAGGCGGGCGAGCAGCTACAGCCAGATGCGCCAGACGAGCCACCCGCCGCTGCTTCACATGGCGCCGCAGCCCCGGCAGCCCCGCCAGGCCCTCAACCCGACGACACCATCGTTGCCCAGTTGGTCTCTATGGGGTTCTCAGAGAATGGCAGCAAGCGTGCAGCGCTGGCGGTGGGCAACAGCAGCACTGATGCTGCCGCCACCTGGGTGTTTGACCACATTGAAGACCCTGACTTCAACGACCCGCTGCCGGCCTCTGGCAAGGCCAGCACTGGTGGGGTTGCAGGTGGGAGCTCTTTACTTTAAACGAAGGGAACCAGGAAGCAGGGCATATCTGCATTTGCACACACCCCATGGCTTTGTGTGGCGGCTGCTGGCGGCTGCTGGCACTTGTGCACCCTACAGGTTGATGCTACTCACCACACCCCCTGCGTGCAATGATGTCTGGCGCAGGTGGCGGCCCCGGCGCACCGGAGCCTAGCGCCGAGAGTCTGTCCACGCTGGGAGATATGGGTTTCAACGAGCGCCAGGCGCGTATCGCGCTGGCCGCCTGCCAGGGTAGTGTGGAGCGTGCAGTCGATTGGCTGTTCAGCCGCCATGACAACCTGGATATTGAGGTGGAGGAAGCGGCGGCGACAAGCACCAGCGCCGCAGGTATGTGCATCGAGCCAACATGCAGCGGTGCCTGCCAGCCATGGGGATGCACATGTGTGTCGAGCGTTACAATGCCGTCGCCCACTGCTCACTCGCCCTTCTCGCCGGCTGACCTTGGATACCTTCAACGGCCATGCAGGCGGCAGCATGGCGGCAGCCCCATCGGGTGACGCCAGTGCATCAGCAGCCCAACTGCTGGATGGCCCGGGCCAGTACGAGCTGGTGGGTATTGTCAGCCACATGGGTGCCAACACCACTTGTGGCCACTACGTGTGCCATGTCAAGAAGGAGGGGCAGTGGGTCATCTTCAACGACGAGAAGGTGGCTGCTAGCCAGCACCCTCCGTTTGATCGAGGCTACCTCTACCTCTACCGGCGGCGCCAGTGACCGTCAAGACGCAGAATTGTTGTTGGGCAAGGCAGCAGATGTGTCGTTTGTTCAATCACCAGCTCATGATGCGATGCAAGGGAGTTTAGGCATTGCAAGCAACACAAGGTTCTAAATAGAAAAAATCACACCAGCTCGTCTTGCACAGCTCAAAAGGGACGCGGCACGCGCTTTAACAACTGGGAAGGAGCAGTGCACGGCCCCTTAAATGGAGGTGATGGGTGAGTAGTCGATGCATTGGACGCCGCCGTAGAAGTGGGGGGACTGCACGATTTGGCGAGCCGTCTCCATGTGCACGCTAATGATGCGCTCATTGCCCAGGTTGAGGATGTTGCACCCATACTCCTGGGGCCAGGGAGCGGGAAGAGGGTGAAACTTGCAGATGAGGCAGATGACATTGGCCTCCGTGCAGAACACCGCGATGCGAGCACCAGAGCTAGCTAGCTACTGCGCTGCCTCAAACCCAACCCACCCACCAGCTGGTGGTGCGGCTTGATTGGGATGATGTGGTAGCCGTTGTCTCGCATGTACTGGCTGAACTCCACACCCTGCCTGGACAGCCCATAGCTGCCATCGCTGCCCTTGGTGTACTCGTCCACCAGGCGCCGCGTGGGGCTGCCCTCCCCCATCATCTCCTCCAGCATGATGCAGACATTGTCGCTGACAATGCTGAACACGCAATCCAGGTGCATGCGGTCCTAAACAGCAGAGGGAAGGGGATGAAGAGGAATTTGCAGGTTTCGTGGGCCAGGGCCCAGGGACGAGGCGCTGCTGGCCCAACCAGATAGTTAGACTTGGCAGTCACCTGCGCAAGGTGACCCGTCCCCTCGCGCCCAGGGATCCCACACCATTGCAATTCCTATACCACCATACCTGGTGCTGCTCGTAGTCATCACGCACCACTGCAAAGCGCCGCGTGCCCAGCAGGTCCTGGTCCATCAGCTGCTGGCAGGCATCAAAATTGGAGCGCAGCCCAATGCCCAGCAGCGCCAGATCGCGGCTCGCGGGAAAGAAATCGCCTGCGGGAAAGGGAAGGGTCCACCGCAAAGTGGTGAGTTGATAGGCACCACAGACGCGTGAGAACTGTTATACTGCAGCAGTATAATGCTTGAAATGCATACGGCTCGATGGTGTGTGTTGCTCCTTCTCCTCACCTCCTTCCAAGTAGCCTGGCTCTGCTATCTCGCCAACCACGGGCAACCCTGCAGAGACGGCACGGGGCAACGTCTGTTGCTGTCCAGGGCAGGCACAGCAACACAAGCAGGAAGGCAGCAGTGCACGCAGCCTGTTGTTCAATCAGTACACCCATAAAGGGACGCCAGCTAAACCAGGCTGCACATCACCGTGCCACCTCACCCAGCTTCTGCAAGCAGAACTTCATGAGCGACACCTCGAGGTTGCGCTGCGGCGAGCGCAGGCGCCCCATGATGATGCCGCGGCACGTGGTGATCTGCTGGTCCCGTGTGTACACCAAATTGCTCAGCGGCTCAAAGCTATACGTGGCGTTCAGGCCTGCAAACGCATGGCATGGATGCAGACTGGTGTTCTGAGAGTGCAAGCCGTACAATACAGTATAGAACAGTACAACCAGCAGGGGTCCTACAGCCCTACAGCAGCACCGCCCAAGTCAACCTGCTGCGCCCCAGAGCACCCGCACCCGTGTCGCGATAGGACGGCGAGATGTTGACGGTGGGGTTGATGAGGATGGTGTCAATCAGCTGCGGCACCGACATGTGCTGCAGCACAGTCAGCTTATACTCATCGCTCAGGTAGTAGCGGTCCTTCTCCTCCAGCTCCTCCAGGCTGTGCCCCTCTGCCAGCCGGTATGTCAGCGCCTGCAGAGGGGAGAAGCAGGAAGTGCAGGTGGCCCAGTTGAGCAACCAAGAGGTCCTCGAAGAACGATGCAAGACAACTCCAGCCCTCTAGCAAAAATACCCAACCTCCCTATGCTCCAGCGCATCTACAACTCCACCTGCATCGCAAACCCCTCCAGCTCCACACGGGCTCCAACATGGTCGACAGTACCAAAGGCCAGGATCTCCCGCACTGTCAGCACCCGCACCCCCTTCTCGCGCATCACACGCCGAAACTCGGCATGAGCCTGCAGGCACCCCCAGGGAGAAGTAGGGCGCCGTTGGTGGTGTTTGCGAAACGTAACTGCTCAGCGTGGTAATCCAATCACAAAGTTGATGCGCCTCATTTCATCTTGGCAGGAGCGGCAGAAGGCAGGGAACGCCTGCCTGCTTGGCAGCCTCCAGGTTGACCGGCTTTTCGTACAAAGAGGCGCGCGGATGCATGCCGCCCATTTGCAGCGACATGCCTTCCGGCTCACACACAATGACGATCTCTGCCTGCAATGACAATCACCGAAAACGATGAGCACCTACAAGGCTGGCAAACGGGCTATCGCTGGTGGATCTGTGACCATGCAGCACGTCACACATCTTGCCTTGTCATTCTCAGACTCCTGGATTGCCTGCATTGCATAGATGGAGCAAACTTTGCAGCCGCAGAATCAGAGGGAAACGGCCAGTTGACAGCCCCCATCCAACTGTGATCAGATAGAATGTTGATATGCACATATGCAGCCACGCCAATGCGCGTGCCTTGACATTGTACTTTTCCTGCAACAGCTCCGCCGCTGTGGAGCGGCGCCCAGAAGGCGTCTTGGCGATGCCGTCCAGCTTGCCCAGGGGCTGGGTGGGGGGAGGAGCGACGGCGCAGAGGTCCTGCGCACATATGAGCACAAGCAAGGCCTCGTAACCATCCCTTCTCGAATCTTGTCTGCATAACACTAATGTGGGTAATCAGAGACGAGCCCAGCGATGTGGCACACCTTGAAGGATTGAGAGAGGCTCATTTTGGACATGGGAATACTTCAACTCATTCACTCGGAAAGAAGAAGAAGAAGAAGAAGAAGAAGAAGAAGAAGAAGCGACTACGCGGGACGCGTGATTTGTACTTCGGCCGTACCGGCAGGAAACGGGTGTCACGCCCGTGGCTCCCGGTAAACTCGGGACCTACCGCAGGCAAAGCGGTCTGCTCGGGATTGCAGTCAGGCGCGGGCGACACTCCAAGAAGTACAGTGCCAACAGCTCGGTCGATCTCCGAGGCTCTCCCCCACAGGCCTAGGCTCGTGTGCTAACCCCCACCGCCTCCACAGCAGCCAGCACCGGCTCCGATTACATCCGATGTGCACTTGGTGCTCAAGTCTTGCGTTTGCGTCGGCACAAGGCGGTCTGGCAAGCGGTTGTTTTACTTCTTCGGCGCGCGCACCAAGCAGTGTCAAGTGGGCACGCAGCTCCGCAGCTTTTGGCTTGGCAATACTGCATGCCTGCGCAGAGGACACTGCTCTCGCGCATACGAAGCGCTGCCGCGTCCTGCCGTCCCGCCGCGTCCTGCCGCGAGCGCTTGTCGGCGCCGGACATCATTGCAGCACGTCCTCTTCTTCCCCCGCCACCACAATGTCAGCCAGCAGGGCGTCGCAGTCCACGCCATAAGCCTGTAGCCGTTCCCTCAGCCGCGCCACCTGCATTGAAAGAGTCGCAGCCAAAACATGAATCCATGGCAAATCCAGGGACGCTGGTGTAGCAGGTTTTATCCAGGCTCCCAAACAGCACCGCGTGGGCGCCCAGTCAGCCACCTTGGCCTCCTCCATGCCCAGGCAGGCGAGCAGATCAGCCATAGCATCGTCTGCCTCCTGCTGTGCCTCCTGGCGCACCGCCTCTAGCCGCTGCTGCAGCTCAATCTGACTAGTGCCGCCCTGCTGTGCTCCTGCACCCACAACCTCCACATCGTCCTGCCGCTGCCTGGCACCTGCCAGATCGCACTGCAGCTGATCCACCTGCTGCTGCAGGCTGTCGGCGTGGGCGTCTAGGGTGCTGTATGCTGCAGACAGGTCCTGCAAATCCATCTCCAGCTTGCGAGCAGCCACTTGACCAGCTGTCATATCGGCGCGAGCTCGCTCAACCTCAGCCTGCACCTCCAACAGCTGCTGCTGTGCCACGACGAGCTGCTGCCGGAGCACGTCTGCCTGTGCCTCTGCCGCTGCCTGAGCCTCCAATGCCGCCTGAGATGCGGTGCCATTGCCGGTGGCACAGCGCAGCCGCTCGGTCATGGAAGCCAGCTCCGTCCGCAGCTGCTGATTTTCTCTGCAAAGCACAAGTGGCTCAACTTTGAGCCTGCATGCTGTTCCCTGTGTTTCCAGCTGAATTTCATGCCGAGCTTCCTGGCTTTACCCATGACAAGCTGCCTCCAATTGCAGGTGCTCACCTCTGCAGCGCCTCGGCCGTGAGCCGTAGCTGCGCATCTCCTGCGCCAGAAGCAGTAGCATCTGGCAATGCCGCCGTGGTTGCATGGCTGTTGGGTTGCACAGCTGGGGCCATGCCGGCACTCAGCACAGGAAGTAGGGGCGCTGTTGTGCTGGGCACTGTGATGACTGCTGTTGCACGGCTGGGGGCCACGGGGGCAGTGGGTGGTGACAACAATGATGTCGGCATGGCGGTGGTTTTATTGGTTATGGGCGCTGTCAACCCTGCTGTGGTGCCATCCGCACCATTGCTTGGAGCGGGTGGCGCAGCACCATCAGACAGCCGTATACCATGCGGAGCCGGAGGCGCTGGCACAGGGTGCACTGCAGGGGGGCTCGCACCAGTGACACTCTTCCGCACTTCTGCTGCGAGCATGGCCAAGCAGGCAGCGAAGGCTGGGCTGATGCTGGGCTCTTCCCCAAAGATGCTGCCACTGCTGCTGCTATCCTTGACTGCTGGCTGATGCTGTAAGGAGTCCAAAATGCTCAGATACTGCTCCTGCCCGATCTGCTTGTCAATGGCAGTCAGCAGCTGCTGCTGGCTGGGGGTGCCTGCCGCATCCTCGGCGTACAAGGCACACAGCCCCAGCAGCAGTGCCAACATGCTGCGTGTCAGCGGGTTGCTGCTGCTGGCAGATGTGCTGCAAGCATTGCTGCCCCGGATGGAGTCCACCAAGAAGGGCTGTGAGTGCGCGACCGCCCGAAGGAAGGCGGTGACGGCTGGCGGGCAGCCGTGCAGCCACAGCAGGAGCAGGCGCAGAATGTTGGCTGCAGCACGCACGCTGACAGGCTGCTGACCATAATGCGTGACAAGCAGGCCCAAATGCGAGGTGCACAGGGCGATAAGGCTACTGGCACTGCTGTTGGTGTGTCCCAGCTGCCGCCACTGCTGCTGCTGCTGTTGTGTCTGCAGCTGCACCTGCAGCGTCAGCAAGTGCGTCTGAATGCCTGCATTCCCACCGACTACGTGCGACACGGCTGCTGCTGCCCTGCTGCTGGTAGCCACCTCGGCCATGCTGCCATGCCATCCCAGGCTGAGCAGAAGATAACCACCAAAACTGTCGGGTACTGCCGCCGCCGTATTCCTCAGAGAGCTGGCCAGAACTGACTGCCCTGCAGCGTTGCCGCAGCAGTAGGCCTCAAGGAGGCGATCTGCAGCCACCTGCTCGGCTGCAGATTGTGCCGACACCGCAACTTGCAGCACTGCCTGTAGAAGTGGCACCACCTCGCCGCTGGCTGATTTGACCGACACCTCTGCCAGCTGGTCCTGCTGCAGTAGGCTGCCACTGATGAGCGCTGCTAAGCAAAGCAGAGCCTGCAAAAGGCGGCGCAAAGAATGACACCCTCGGCGGCACATACGGCGAGCTGTGCCAAGAACAGGCGCTTTGTCTGCATGCATTCTCCATGCTTGCAAAGCAAAGCCCATCATGCTGCTCTGCACCTGATTAGAGGGCATACCTGGGCACGTACGGTGTCATCTAATGCGCCGCCAGCTTGCAGCGCCAGCCCGATTAAGACGTCCAACAGCCCACGGTGCAGCAAGGCCTGCCGGTTCTCCGCCTGACAGCTGCAAATGGGCGTCATAGGGCCACCTGCAGGGGGCGGAAGCAGTGCCAGCACCACTTCCATAGCCGCCACCAGGTTTGCCCCCTTCTGTGACGGCAGCTGCCGACTGCCGTCCTCTGAGAGCTGCAGAATCACAGGCAGCTGCGCCAAGAAGCCGGTTTCTCGGAACATGAGCTGGTTGGGTGGGCTGCCGCGCAGCAGTGTGGCGAGGAGCTGGAAGCAGTCCTGCACCACGATGTCGCCGTTAAGCATGCCCTCCTCTCTGCGTGTGGCATGTGAGAGGGATATGGAAGCAGATAACCTCACATGACACAGCCTCCCTGCCTGCCCCCGGGTGGTGTACTCAGCGGCCCCGCTGACCAGCACGCACCTGATGATGCCAAACAGGCGGTCAAACGCCCCCTCGAACGCGGCGATCTTCTGCAGGTCGCTGCTGCCGGCTGCCAACTGCGTGAGCAGCAGAAGAGCCTCATTGCGCAGCACCTCCTGCTCCCCAAGCAGCTCCATCAGTCGGGTCACGCCCAGCGGGGTGCCCAGGATGGCCTGCATGCATGGGAAACAAAGCGCATGTCACGTTACCAGCCGGGCACTTGGGGGGGGCCCAAACACAGGCGACGCGATGATCCTGTTGACACGAGTACTGATTCCCGACGCCGCACTTCTTGCAGATGATGGGGCGCTGCCGATGCCAGGCCCTTGAGCACTTGCAGAGTGTAATAGCGCGCGTAAAAGTCGGGCACGCCCGCCGGCCCCTGCTCCAGCAGGTTTAGCAGCAGCGGCATGGCATCGGGCATGCGCGCCAGCTGCTGAGCGTTGACGGCAACTGCCTACACACACTCGCAGTAAGTGGCAAGGTGCAAGGTGGCGTGACGGCTAGTAGTTCATAGGGCAGAATTGCACAGCAACGAGGAGCCTATAGGGTATCCCTACCTGCGTGGTGCGTGCCTCGCTGCCGACGGCCACCGCTGCTGCCAGGCTCTCCAGTGCTAGCTGCACCATCTCACCGTCGTCGCGATCCCGCACAACTTGCAGCATCGCAGGAAAGCCTACGGCCCCAAAAGCAAGCTGAGCCTTGGGGCTTCCCAGCAGCAGGTCGCGCAGCTGCTGCAGCGCCTCGCGGCGATCTGGCAACAAGACTGCGTCGGATACCCGTTGCACCAGGCGCTCCAGCAGGTCGACGTACTGGTCTCCAGCCTCGTCCTGCGCCTGCTGCTGCAGGAACCGGCCCAGTGCCAGCATACTCTGCAAACGGCAGGCGGCGAAAAGTAGGGAGGCGCAACTAGGAGGGACGCTTGCCGCCGCCGCCAGTGAACCGCTGCCGTGGCCGTCAGGAACATTTGGAGCCTGGAGGCGAGATTCACCTCTGCAGGCCAACATAGCTGCTTACCGGAACCTCCCACCGCGAAACGATCGCGGGCGACAGCAATGTCTACCGAAAACTTCAAGTTCTTGGAGTGCTGCAACGATGGCTGCTGAAGCAGAGAGGGCACGGCTTTGCAAAAGCTGCAGTATACTGCAGTATGCAGAAATGTGGGTGGACAGGAGGTGCACATGAGAGCTAGCACCGACGTTTGTCGGCCCTTCTCCCCGCTATCAACATCGCCGCTCTGCACCGCCGGGCATGTCGATCTTTAGCAATCTCTTCCCTGGACAGTTGAACGCGTCGCCCCAAACAGCTCTGTTCTCTAGCTACGGCCCCTCCAACGCAGAGCAAGCTTTGCAAAGCTATCCGGCCCCTTTGCAAAGGCCAGGGGCCCGAGAGCCGGAAGCTCTGAAGAAGAAGCGGCCGAGGTCGACGGCGGGCGGTGTAGGGGTGGCTAATGGAGAGCAGGGGAAGCAAAAGAAGAAGCGGCGCGAGGAGATTGTCCAGGTTCAGCAGCCGCCACAACGGACGACGCAGCGGGGACCGCCAACGGCAGCAGCGACGGCAGAGGCCGACGACCGGCTCCCCCGCACCGTGTTTGTGGGCAACCTGCCGGCACACGTCAAGCGCAAGTCGCTGGCCCAGCTGTTTGCTGGGTGCGGGCGGGTGGAATCCGTGCGCCTGCGCTCCCTGCCGTTGCAGCGGGATCCAACCAGCAAGATCCCGCGCCGCGGTGCCATCGCCTCGGGTGCCATCGATGCAGACCAATCTGCGCATGCGTGAGTTGCGACCCCTTGCCTGCCCGCCTTGGTTTCATGTGCTCACTTGCAGCAGATGTCTTGAGATGATGAAACTGACGTATTGGCTCCCCGTTGTGCCGCCTATGCAGCTATGTGGTGTTCGCGGATGATGCTGCAGCTGATGCAGCGCTGACCCTCAACATGCAGGAGGCAAGTGATAGCTGTAGCCTGGCTGTTGGTGGGGGATCATGATTGCCCTGCAACAGAAGATATGTGTGACACCACACGTTTAAAAAACATCCTGAACTGCTGCAGTTCCAGGGGCACTTACTTCGTGTTGACCATGCGGCTCCAAAGGGAGGAAAGGAGGTGGTGTTTGACCCTCAACGCTCTTTATTTGTTGGTAACCTGGCGCACGACATAAAAGTGTGTTCTGTCGCTGTTTCGCACAATGCCTGCTGCTCCTGTCCTTTCTGGTAAATGGCAGAAATTGATTATGATCGTTCGATCTCGGGTGGTAGTGGCCCAATGTGGGTTAACAGATATTTTTTGTGCACCCATGCGCAGGACCAGGAGATTATCCACCACTTTGGCGCCGCCAATCTGGAGGCAGTGCGCGTGGTACGGGATTCAAGGACTGGCGTAGGCAAGGGAGTTGCTTTCATCTTGTTCAAGAGCCAGGAGGCATCCAAGACAGCACTGAAGCAGCAGGGTGCCGCGGAGCTTAAAGGTCGCACACTGCGCCTGACAGGCGTGAAGCGGCAGCAGGAAGGCAAGGCCGCATGGCAGCAGGGCACAGGCGGTCATGCTGGCAAGAGCGGCAGCAGCAAGGCAGCAGGCGGCAAGCCGGTCGTTGGCAGGCGGAAAGTTGGTGGGAAGCGGCCCGCCGTTGCAGCGAGGAAGCTTGCTCCAAAGCAACAGGAGGAAGCTTGATTAAAAGGAAAAGCAAGAGAAGCAAATCTCTTAAACCTTGCCCTCTGCATGCGGCTTTTCGCAGTGCAACAACAACCAAGTCTTCCTTAAGCCACAGCTGAGTAGTGTTACAGATTGTGCCGCAGACGCCAACAGAGATCACTTACTGAGAACGGTTGCGGCCACCACCTCATCACCCTGCCGCACCTTGACCAACCGGTGGCCCTTTGCGAAGCGGGAGTGGATGTTCACATCTGCCACGGGCACCCTCACAAGCTGTCCCTGCTGCGTGGACAGCACCACATCTGCCCCGGCTTCAGGCTTGCGACCGCTGCTGCTGGTTTTGGTAGCGCTGCTCTCATCCTCGCTGCCGCTATCCAGCGCCGCTTCCCTGCTGCCCGACGGCGCTATGCCCACCACCTGGACCGCTGCCAGCCGGTCCCCCAGGTTAAGTCGCAAGGCTTGGATGCCACTGCCGGTGCGTGCACGGAGCCGAAATTCAGAGATGCAGGTGCGCTTGCCCAGGCCCTGCTGTGTAACCAGCAGCAGGTACGGCCCCGCTGACTGCTCCTCATTGCTACTGCTCTCAGCAGGCGTCTCCGCAGCCTTTCCCTCGCTATAGTCCATATCATGCGATCCCTCTATGCTCAAGTAGTCTTCGTCATTAGGTCCTTCTGCCACAATGCCCGCAGGCAGAATCGCCATGGCCACAATGTCGGTGCCCTTCGACAGAGTCATGGACTACGCGTAGTACAAGGGAGGGAGAGGGGGCGCCTGATGTCTCACAGCGGAAAGGAAGCGTGTTGAAATTCAGGGCTGTGAAGCTAAAAAGCAAAAAGTGTGTGCCTCCAGCTACCTTGTTGCCAACAGCCGCGCGTCCCATGCGCCGCAGCTTGGTGATGGCAAAGTGCTGCGCGGATCCGTTGGAGGCGGCAATCAACACAGAGTCGGTGGGGGAACAAAGGCCCACGAACTGAAGGCTGTCGCCCTCCTACATGAACAGAGCAAAAAAAGGGTAGTAGGGCGGATGGCAGCTGCCAAGGGAGAAAACACAAAGAAAACAAGTGTGCCTGGAGACCTTGTTTCCTTCGTTTACCAATGCAGCTCTTCTGCACTCACCCGGACACCCATGGCTACCAGGCCGCTGCGGTTGATGGAGGTAAACTGCTTCAGCGCTGTACGCTTTATCTGGCCCTTGCGCGTCAGCATCACGACATCCTGCTCCGCAGACCCCAGCGCTGCACCAAAGCCGGACACGGGCACCATGGCCGCGATGCGGGTGCTCTTGTCAAATGGTAGCACCTGCAGGCAGGCAAAAGGACCCATACACGGGTGCTTCATACAAATCTAAGGAGCAATCCTGTCTCAGCCCAAGATAGCAGCAACGATTGCCCCAGGCGTCACACTGCTAACCTGCGTCACAGCGGAACCAACAGCGGTACGGGTGCCCTCAGGCACGTCATATGCCCGCAGCGAGTAGGCGCGGCCTTCGGTGGTGAAAAATAGAAGATGATCGTGGTCGTTTACATACACAACCTCATCTAGGCTGTCATCTTCCTTGAGCCGTGCGCCCGCCTTGCCTGCGCATCATGTGCAGGGGCTTCAGGTTAGTACAGGAAGCGACCATTGTTCTGCGTGACCTTCATGAACACCACAAGTCCATGTTAGAGCTTCCAAACTACAGCAGCGGCAACGCACCCACGCCCCCCCGCTTCTGCGCTCCAAAGGTGTCTGGGCGCACGCGCTTGATGTAGCCGCGCCGGCTGTAGACCACTAGACTGGGAGCATTGGGGATCACATCCTCATGTCGCAGCTCCACCTCACCTGCAAACCAGGCCAGCAAATCAGGGAGCACAAATCGGGCTGGGCATTCCATGCAAACATAGAATATGATGCAATTTCACGTGGCACGACTCACTGACATCCAAAGAGGTGCCATCCGCAGTCCTGCATTCCAGCCAGCACCTAAAGCAAACGCACCATCAGTGATGATGTGCGTGCGGCGTGGCGTGCCAAACTTGGCAGCCAGCTCCTCTGCCTCGCTCGTCACCACCTGCAGAATGCGGTCCTGCCGCTGCAGCAAGTCTTGCAGGTCCGCAATCCTACAAAAGGGACCAGCAGCAGCGGGCATGCTTGCTGCTGATTGCGCTGGTATAAGCTATCACCAGACCCCCTGTAAGCGCATACACATACCACTCACTTGGCCTGCAGCTGTGCCTGCTCCTCCTGCAGCTTGCTGGCCTCCAATGAGGTCAGACGCCGCAGTGTCATACCCAGCACGCCCTCTGCCTGCTCTCGGCTCAACCCAAATGGAGAAGCTCGAAGCACCACCAAGGCCGCAGCGCCGTCGGATGCCTGCCGGATGGCATGCACAACTGCATCCAAGTCACGCATGGCGGTGACAAAGCCGTCCACAAGGTGCAGCCGCTGCTGTGCTCGCAACAAATCGTGCCGCGCCCGCCGCTCCACAACCTCACACCTACACAAAATTAGTCACAATGATTGACCCAAATCCAAACAAAGGACAGTTATGCAGAAAATGCAACCATGCTCCTCAACAGACCTGAAGCTGAGGAAATGCTGCAGGAAGTTTTTCAGAGTAAGGGTCAGCGGTGTTGCACCCACCAAGGCCACCATATTGGCACTGAAGCGCGACTGCACTGCCGTGTGCTTCAGCAGCTGATTGAGAACCAGGTCCGCGTTACCCCCTGCAGGAAGGCAGGAACATGCAGCAGCTGGCAGTGCAACTTGGTCTGAGACCAGGTTGAGCTTTAGAAGCTCCCAGGTCCAGCCAGACGGGCAGGAGGACACCAACTCGTCTGTTCTGAGTACCATGGCATTCGATTTGTTGTATGTGCAGCACACTGCAGACCCTCCACTTCAAGGCAGCCTGCCAACTCACCTCTCTTGACCTCCACCACCACCCGCACGCCATCCCGGTCCGACTCATCCCGGATGTCGCTCACCCCGGTCAGGGTGCCAGCGTCCACCAGACGTGCAATCTGCTCCACCAGGGCCGACTGCAAACCAATGCAAAGGCTCAAATACAGACTATTCAGGTGGGAAATGAGTGAACGGGGAAACGATGCAAGGCACGAGCGGAAATGCTCTGCAAGCCAACCCCTCACCTTGTTTGTTTGGTATGGTAGCTCTGTGATGACCACGAGGGGCTTGCCGCTGCCGCTGCTGCCTGAACGCTTGGGCTTCCGTTTGGCCCCGCCAGCGGCAGTGGTGCTGCCACTGCCATCCTCTATGTGTATCTTGGCCCGCATCAGGATGCCACCCTTGCCCTCTTCGTACGCCTGCCGCACTGCATCTGTAAGAATAATCTCGCCCCCTGTGGCAGTAGGTGGCAGGCTCGTCTCAGTCTGTTGCGGCATTTCTGCAGCTCCTAGGAAGGTTCCCTCGGCACTGGCAGCCAGCGCGCCTGTTGGAAAGTCTGGGGCGGGGATGTGCCGCATCAGCTGGCGCACAGTGATGTCTGGGTTGTGGATCAGCGCCTTGAGCCCTTCAACCACCTCACGCATGTTGTGTGGCGGAATCTTGGTGGCAATGCCAACCGCGATGCCGCTCGTGCCATTGATCAACAGGTTGGGCACACGGGCAGGCAGCACTGAGGGCTCGTCCTGCAGGGCCACAGCACCATGAGCGCAGAACCCACTATAGCAGAGAACAACACACAAACTAAAATTGAGCTGGAATTTAGTTGCTCACTACGGAGGCATCAAAGTTGGGCATGAAGTCCACGGTGTCTGCCTCCAGGTCTGCTAGCAGCATGGCGCTGGCCACCGCCTGCAGCCGGCACTCGGTGTACCTGCATTGCATCATTCCCGACTGGAGGGCCAAGTGAGTACCTTAAGAAGCCAGTTGGAGCATGCAACACTGGTCAATACCATAGATTGGCAAAGTGATGCATGCAGAGGCGCTGCCCTTGCTGGCCTTGCTGGCCTTGTCCAGACCTCATCGCCGCGGGCGGGTCATCGTCCAGGCTGCCAAAGTTTCCATGACCATCCACCAGCTGCACGCGCATGGAGAAGTCCTGGGCCAGGCGCACCAGCGCATCATACACCGCGGTGTCGCCATGCGGGTGGAACTTGCCCAGCACCTCGCCTACAACACGCGCACACTTCCTGTGCAAGCAGAAGGCGTGGGATTGCAGCGTCAGCGACACGACCTGCTCATATTGGCGGGCAATGATGGCAGGCAGCAGGCCACAAATAGCAAGCACGTGCACGTCTGGCCCGTGCGCCTGCCACCTGAAGGGCTTGTTGTGTTGCAGGCCAAGCTCATGCATGGCATACAGGATGCGGCGGTGCACTGGCTTGAGACCGTCGCGCACGTCAGGGAGCGCCCGACCGACAATCACAGACATGGCATACTGCAGACGGTGCAAAAGAAAAAACATGTTGGCAACCCAACAGCTCACAAGTCCGTCGGGGGTGCAGAGAGTCGCGGCACGAGCACTGAACACAGCGCAGGAGGCTGCCCTTGTACAATGGCAACCTGCTGTTTGAAAGGCAAGGGACTGACCGACAGGTATGACCGCTCCGCCTCCAGCCGCAGTTCCGTTTCAATGATGCGGCTGTCGCTGCCTGTGCCGCCCTCCTCTGTTGCCGCTTCGGTGCCAGAGGATGCCGCAGTTGCCACCCTCTGGCTGCCATTGGAGTACCGTCGTAAGGGTTGTCTTCGTGCAGGCAGCAGCTGCACAGATGAGTGCTAGGTAGGAAGAGGGCACCACCTGTTGCCTAGCTGCGGTGAGCGCTGCCCTGGGCCAGCTCTGCCGCCCACGTGGTGCACTGGCAGGCACAGGTGCACCTCCTTGCAACCTGGTTTCTCGTCTCTCAGGCAAGGAAACTCACCCTGGCGGCTCCACCAGCGGGCGACGAACTAGATGGAAGGCCGTGGCGCAGCTTGCTGGCCAGTCGGTTCAGCGCTGCCGTCGGGTGCCAGCTCATGGCCTGCAGGTCGCCAGGCATGCCGTTGCTGTTGAAGTGGTGTTCAGCGGGGCGGTCCTGCCTTCAGGAACATCATCATGAATATCAAGTACTAAATCGGATGGATGGCGAATCGGGTGACTGAGCGCGAGGCTCCTCTCACAGCTGTACCGCCTCGGCCCATCTTATACAAATAAATGGCTATATTTAGTGTCAGCCACTCAGCGTGTTCGAGCCTGTGCTACCAGCCATCGCCATGCAGGTGCGTGGGCGGCGTGCATGCACCAGAGCATGGAATAATGGCTGTCTAACAACAAGTCTGCCTTGCTGCAGGCTTCATTTCAGGGCTTGTCACTGGGCGCCAAGCTGCATCGGAATGGCCGCGTGGCTCGTGGGCAGCGCATGGTGAGACTGCTGCACTGCTTCTGGAAGGCCGGCTGTGTGCTTGGCGAGCAGGGCCCTGCCCTGCACCCCAGTGTGGATGGACACCGCGCTTGAGGCCTCAAAGCATATGTTTGCTTTGCTGTGCATGGCCGCCCGACGCGTCACCACCCCCGCCGCCCCCTTCCACCAAGTCACCTTGCCCTTTCCTCGTGCAGGTGATCCGTGCGGAAGCAAAAGACATCATTTTTGATAATGCCTCCCGCCGCAAGATGCAAGATGGCATCAACAAGGTGGCGGACGCGGTGCAGGTCACCCTGGGGCCCCGCGGTGAGCCGTTGTTTATTGCCAAGCTGGTCATGCCGGGTCGGACGCGGTGCGATGCAGCCTGATCGGCAGCCACTTGCTGCTGCAATCCTGCGCCAGCACTCAGCTGCTCCACCTTGCCCCTACCTTTTCCAATTGGCGCCCGCCTACACCACTGCCCTTCACGCCCGCCCAACAATTTGCAGGTCGCAATGTGGTGCTGGAGCAGGCATACGGCGTGCCGCAGGTGATCAACGATGGCGTGTCCATTGCCCGAGCCATTGAGCTGGAGGACCCTGTGGAGAATGCGGGCGCCCAGCTGATCAAGGAGGTGGCGGGGCGCACCAATGATGCCGCTGGCGACGGCACCACCACTGCGACGGTGCTGGCGCGCGACATGATCCGGTACGGCCTGCAGAACGTGACGGCAGGCGCCAACCCCATCTCTATCAAGCGCGGCATCGACAAGACCTGCAGCTATCTGGTGAGGCAGCAACAGCCGCAGTGGTGTGTGGGCGGGCACCAGTGGCAGGTTTCAAGCGAAATACACTTTGCAGCAAGGCTGACAGTTAGCAGGGGTGCTGCGCATCGTCGCATGGGGACAGGCGCAAACGTGCTGGCCCATTGCTGCCTGGCTTTGCAGGTTGATAAGCTGCAGGAGCATGCGCGGCCGGTCAAGGGCGGCAGTGAAATCAGGAGCGTGGCTGCCATCTCTGCCGGCAATGACGATGAGATTGGCCAGATGATTGCCGATGCTTTGGAGAAGGTGTGCAGGCATACTATAAGGGCCACGTGACAGGTCGTTGCACGGTTTGATTTAAACAGTGCCTTTCTTTGCATGGCAGGCTGCATAGGCTGCCCTCCTTTATGGCAAAACAACAACTTCTGCTTGCTTTGCACCGCCCCCCGTAGGTGGGTGCCGACGGCGTTCTTGCCATTGAGACCAGCAACTCGCTGGAGACAACGGTGGAGGTGCAGGAGGGTATGGAGATTGACCGCGGCTACATCTCCCCCCAGTTTGTGAACAACAGCGAGCGGCTGCTGGTGGAGTATGAGAACGCGCTGGTGCTGGTGACTGATATGAAGATCGAGAATGTTAAGGACGTTATCCCGCTGCTGGAGCAGGTGCTGGGTGCCTCTGCGCGTACTAGCTGGCACAGCATGCATGCCAGCTCGGGGGGGGGGGGGGGGGGGGGGTTT